CCTCTCGCCTCCCCACGAGCGCCAATGTTCTTTGGAATGTGCATTTTTAAAAACAGCCCTTCTCGAGTCATCTGTTGTTGTTTTTTTTTATCTGTTGACGTTTGCGCCCTCTCCTTTTTACCTACTCAAGAGCCGGTTCCTCTCACAGGTCCGACGGGCTGGTACCTTCCATTCGCAATCGCCCTCCCCTGGGAAGTGGGGTACAGGGAAGCGGTCCCTCCGCCTCTTTTTTCGATCTGTTGACGTTTGCGCCCTCTCCTTTTTACCTACTCAAGAGCCGGTTCCTCTCACAGGTCCGACGGGCTGGTACCTTCCATTCGCAATCGCCCTCCCCTGGGAAGTGGGGTACAGGGAAGCGGTCCCTCCGCCTCTTTTTTTCCAAAGGTCAGGGTGCTTTTTCAATGCTGGGAAAAGGTCCTGTTTAGGGCTAAGATTCCACACACACCCCCAGCATGACGGGGAGTGGGGGGATTTCAGGTCCCTCCAAACCAACTTGCAAGCTGTGTCAGAGGCAAAGGGGGTGTTATTGGCTCTCCCCGTTGAGAAGAAAAGCAGCTTAACAATAATTCAAATAAATAAATACGAGCTGCCTTGCCTAATCCACAGAGGTTCTTTGGGGAGAAAATAATGTATTTTCCTACTTCTTTGTATCTTTGTCCCACCCAAAGAAAGAAAGAATCCACTTGTTCCAGGACTGTCAAATCTGAGTTGGCAGATCTTTTCAGCAGATCTTTTCCAGCCCCAGCTGGCGATGCCTGGGTAACGTGAAAGGGTCTCTGGCCCAAATACGAACCAGGCCCTGCTTGGTTCCCAAAATCAATGCCTCCAAGCTGCGGGGCTGCTGGTGGTATCAGACCAGAGACCTGGAAGCACCTTTAAGGACAGGCACCTTCTCTGGAAACAGACGGTCTTCCAAGGAGGTAAGGACAGAACAGCAGGGAGACAATTTTCAAATGTTCCACAGCACCTGCTAAGGAAACATCCCAGAATAAATCAGGTTCTTGCCCAAAATGGCTTTAACATCCCAAAATGAAAGACGATGGGTTTATGCCGATGGGTATAAGTAGCAGAATTCTGAAGAAGGGAAATTAGTGTTGAATAATATCTCCCATTCCTATCAATTGATGTTCTCTAATTGGGACTTAATTTGGATTTAGCTGTAAATTCTGACATCTACTCTGGAAGCGTTCACAGAATCTAATAGTGCTTTTCACAACACCAAGGATTTTAGACATCTGCTCATCTTTGCAGCGAAAACTCTGCAATGTGTTAGCAAATACACTGCCTGGGAATTTGGGTGAACGAACAGTAGGATCAAAGCCATGCAATAAAAGTTAGCATAGAGACAATTCAGAGCAGCTTCCTTAAGAATGTCATGTGCAACAAAAATCTTAAATCCTGATTTCAGAATGCACCTTTAACAGAGGCCACCGTGGGGGGAATAAAAGTTTTAAAATGGCTTTATTTATTGTAAGACATCGAGAATATCTTGCATCAAGGGGGTGTATGTGAATGAATAAAGACCAGGATATCACAAAGCACATCCAATGCAGAAAGGCATGTTCCAGCTATGCAGAAAGCTGGAATATGAACGAGATATGAAAAATATACATTGCTGCAAATTGAGCGCTCAATATAACTTAAATTTTGAAAAATGGAGGAATAATGTATGATTAATTTGAACGCACCACTACATCATCCAAATGCAGAATAACCCTGACCTTCACCCCAACCTTCAAAAGGAAAGACAAAGAAAGGAGGCAGATCCTTATCCGTAGCCCCAAAAACAAAGCCTATGAAAGAAAATCAGAAGAAAGCTTTCTGACACCATAGAATTAACCGCCCCGCTCTATCCGCCCCGCTTCCCAGCATCCTTAGAGAGCGTCGGCGGGGAAGGGACTCAAAACAGACCAATAAAGACGGCAGGGAGGCGGGCGGCTTGGGAAATAAGCAATGCGCGTGCGCAGCAGCGCAACCTCGGCGGGGGCCGACGCGACTTAGTGACGCCATAAGAACGCTGCAGAGGGAGGAGCCCCCAAGAAGCGTCAACAACATTCGGGGTGGCAGCCGGCAAGCCTGTTGCTACGGCAACGAAGGGAAACTAGTCGAGCCCAGATTGGAAACCACGGTCGAACAAGAAAATCTTAGATATTTGAAGCTTATAAAGGCAGAACCTTTTGGAAGTCGGGGGGGGCGGGGCTCTAGAGGAGTCGTTTAATTAATTAAATTCATAAATCCGTCATCTCTTCAGTCCTTCACTGGCTTTTACACAATGGCTTTTTCTGTTGTGTCTTTCCTTTCCCCCCGAGATGCTCCAGGTGGCGCTCTCGTATTAATCTCTGAACAACAACCTTGCCAGGTAGGAAAGTCTGAGCGCTGCAGGGATAGGAGCAAAAGTTTTTCCTTCAGTTTTATGGATAAGTGAGCATTTAGGGCCGGGATCTACCCTTGTCTGGCCATTACACTACACAGGCTTTTGGAAGTAAAGGTATCATTTATTTTTAAAGAGGTATAATCCACTGGATCCTTTTTAAAAAAATTCTACTAGTGTACAAATTAATATTTTACATATATGCAGCAACAGGAACAGCTGTGTTGTCCAACTATTTATTTCTTGGGAAATGTTTGCCAGAACCTGGAATATTGCTGTTTCAAGTAATCTTATAAATAACTCATTACATGAGTTACAGAATTATGAGTTCTAATTCTGAAGAAGTAGTTCTTAAGAAGAAAAACCATGTTTCGTGTTGGCCATGGCTTGTTTCACAGGTGGTCAAACAAGCCACAGTTTGATCTCCCCTTCTCCGGTCTGCCTCTTGGGTATTCCTTCGGCCAGCCCTTCTTGTTTCAAGGTGAGCTGGCAGGGAAACAAGTCAAGGACAAGGCACGATTTTGCATTATCATGTGAGCAATAAGCCGTAGTTCAAACAAGCCAACAATAAACCATGATCCTAATGTGATGTGACAATGGTTAACTGTATTTTAACTATAGACCCTCCTGTTTCAATATCTGGCCAAGATAAGATTTACTGTTGATTTAATCACTTTGGTCATTCAATGACAACTAGTATTACAATTAAGATTAACTTGATGATCCATAGGGTCCCTCTAGATGATGATTGTGATTTTAGAAATAGAAATACATGCACCTGGAGAGTGTCAGCGTAAAAATGTAATGCTAACAATTTTAAAAAGACTAAAAATACACACATTGTATTCACATTTTTTGTTTTTAAATTAAGCCAATTTAAATGCACATAATTTTGATTAAAACGAAGTCCTTTCTATTCACCAATAAAACTATTACCCAACACCGTTTCTAGAAACCGCTGTTTGTGGGAATGAATTGATACATTAACAGAACAGAATGAAATAAGTCACAACTTGACTTACCATGATATGTGAACTTAGCCACCGTGTCGCATTTCTAGGATTCAGAGGCCTGGACCATCCACCATCGATGCCAAGGGTCCATCATTATAAAGGCCACCTCAGTGCTTCCCCAGTCGTCTGCCTGTCAAATGGGGCCAGAAATAACCATAACGTTGTCAAGATAACTAGGCTCAAAACTCTGCAGGAAAGAAAAGCTGCTCTGAACGGTGGGTAACGTAATCCTGCCTACTTACTGTGTACTTTTGCGTTGATATTTCTGGCTGCAAAACTGCTTCCCAAGGTTGGCACCGCCTGCTTTTCTCTCTAATTCAGAGAAACAAAATCAAGACATTAAAACCCATCTCTACGGCAACGACCTACTTTTGAATTAAACCCCAAGTAATGAGGATTGGATGGAGTTTCTCAGGGATGCAAGAGAAGAAAACCTGACATCCTCAGATAAGCTCCATAGAAGTTGGCTGTGGTTGCTTAAGCGAAGGGTCTAATGAACTCTGTAGTTGTTGAAAAACCATGCCTTCTTCCAGGGCCAAACCACCTCAGATTCAGGATTCAGTGTGTTAAAACCCAAGCCTCGGTCCAAATTAAGTGCCAGTGAAATAAATGTCAGCGCTTTGGATATTTAATTTAGTTCTGTTTCCTCTTTCCCAAGCAATTTTTGCATCTTGCAGCCTAAGGTAGCGTTATGGGACATCAACCCCACTACGTCATTCTCATTTGTACATCTGCATTTATAACTTGCAGCATAAATGGAAGGTGTTCTCCATGGATGTGCCAGTGGCATCTGCAGCAGCATTGATGTGCATTCGTGGTGATGATGAGGTTCACAGGGCACCACCAAACTGATCATCTCCAAGCAAATAATCTCACTAGGTAACCTTGGGCCAGTTACTCTTTCTCTGCCTGACCTACTTCGCAGGGTTGTTGTTAAGTGCCGAGGAGAGCCATATAGGCTGCCTTGCGCTTACTGCAGGAAGGACAAGGTTTAATGTAACAAAAATATATATTTTGTTTCCAAGGACAAAGACAGATGCTTAAGGGATTTTTTTTTCCTCTTATGCCAAAACAGTTTGGCTGGCTTTCAGTGTTATGCATCTTTACTTAGTGGTGGTGTGTGGCAGGAGGCCATTTCTGTATCGGGCAGTATGTCTTGAACTGGCTCTGAAATTGAGGGAAACAGATACAGAACGAAAAAATATGTGATGATTTAAAAATGCACAGATTTGAGCCACACATATTAATGGGGTTCTGACACCCTTAAAGAAATTCAGAAATTTATTTTCTGTGAACACTTGGGTTGTAATAAATTTGGTACAGACATGTTTTTTTTCAAATGTTAAATGGATCCTGGAGAGCTCACTTCAATGGATTGTAAAGGTCATGTCATGAGAAATTGTTGTCATAAAACTGTTTTTAAATGGACTGATATATGGTATTGTTGTACTGTACACCCCTTTGGGATGGATATAAATGAGGTACAGAAAGGTTCATACGAAGTAATTACCGTATATAATTGAGTTCCTGTCAGTTGATGACTGTAATAACCTACAAATGTGCCTTCTGTATTATAAATACTAGCCTATTTAAGGTGCCGCAAGAAGACTGTGTTTAACTGGACGGTTGCAAATTCCTTTGGGGTTTCTGAGATTTCAAACAAATAATTCCAAATAATAATTCAAGGATAAGAGAGTTCACTTCAGTGGTCTGGAGCCAAGGAAACTTGATGCCTTGTTGAAACTCTGGTGTAGTCTATTCAAGATGACATCAGAGTACTCCCTGTTTCGGTTGCGTTTTGTTTTGTTTTTCAAAGATGAGATTATTTTAGAGTGGTTGTCAATTTGGACAGAGGCAAAAAAAAGGATGTAACTAGTAACAATTAAATAAGAGAACTGACTTTAGCCCACAAAGCTTAGGCGACAACACAAGGTATTACTGGACTGTGTCTCTAAATAATGTTCCATATATACTGTATATAGGTTTTATTTTTATTTAAGGAATTTTCCTCCCTTTGTCCATCCAATGGCTGGCAGCCAGGCAGGCGGCTGCCTTTGCTATTCCCATCTGGATCCTAAGAACTAGGTGAGAGATAGGGCTACTTAGAGTAGGAACTTGATTATATTTTTGAGTGGTGTTCTTAAGTCCTGCCTCTTATGTGTTTTTAAATTGTTGGAGCAGGTTTTTAGCTACAACTATGGCTTTCTTTGAATTAGATGTAACCAAATCTTTAATTTTAATAAAGGCAATATTTTTTTAAAATAGACCTGTGTTGGTCTTAAGTGATAAGGCACGTGATACCGGCGAACTCCAGTCCTACCTGCTTAGCCAAGCTACCAAGTCACTCACCCCGAGCCTGGAGCCTTGGGTTCTTGTAGTTAATTTATTATACAGTATTTTACCCTGCGTTTCTCCAATGAAAAAGTACTCAAGGGGGCTCATCAAAATGAAAGGCAATATTTAAAAGTCAAAAACAACAGTACTGTGTATGACGGGGTTAACATCACTAAAGGACAATGTTTAAAGCTAAGGACAAGGCCATATGAAAGCTAAGAACAAAAGAGTACAAATATTTAAAAAGTGGGGGGAAGCCAAATGCCACTCTGTGAAATTGAAAACCCCCAAAACGGAAAGCACAAATAGGGCTAAAAATAATAATAATAATAATAAAAATCCAGCCCAAGCAGTAAGGCACAACAATTCCTCTCAAAATCTCACCCAGGCAAGCCAGTTAGTGAGGGAAAGATCTTTGGCCTGCTTGAGGCAGGACACCAAAGGGGTGGCGGGTGGGGGTTCGGCGCCTGGCTTCCAGTGGCAGGGAGTTCCACAGTCTGGCAGCGACCAGGAAGCCCAGCCTTGGCCGTCACGATGGGTCGGGGACCCAGCCTGAGGGCCGGCTTTCGCCAAGGGGGCGGCCGTTCCTCCCCCTACCTAAACTCCCCCCCCC